TGATTTGCATGTCAAAGCACTTAAGTCAACTACAATACCCCCTATGTCAGAGAAGATAAGTTTTGGTACAATAAAACAACCCCCCCCCCCCAAGAAAGCCCGATGCTTGTTGAAGCAGTGGAAAACCCACCCAGGCCAGCGGACTTGAAAATTGGAAGGTCACTGGTGGCAGGTCATCAAGTTGTACCCATAACAGTGGCTAATTTCTCCAAATTTGAACAGACACTTAAGGAAGGGGCATTGTTGGGTGTGTGCCAGGAGGTAGAGCTAGTCAATGATAAGGCAAGAAATAAGACCATAAAGAAAGGACATCCTCTCCCATTTAACTGACCTCTATAAGAAGGGCCTAGTCCATTTGTCATCATCAGAGGCTCTTCAAGCTAAAGAACTTTTGGTGAATTATGCAGACGTTTTCCACTCAACTAGCCAATGTTCTTGTTATACTAGTTCTTAGTGCTTCAAACATCTGTATAATGAAAGACGAATATGCGAATGTTTTCTCTTTGGAGATTTATCTTATGCCTTCAACTATTCTGCAATCCCTAGGAGTCTAGGAACTGACCTGACTTTCGGTCCTAGAAAATCAGAGCCAATGAATGAGAATACATTACTCATTGACTTTTCAGATATACAGGATCTGACTGAAGCCACGAATGAGTTAGCCCTGAACTCTCGGGCATCTATTCTCCAGCTCACAGAGAACCTCCTGAAAACCTTTGCACTGCCAAGAGAGGGATCTACAGGAACGTAGTCAGTTACTGTAAACTATACCCAAGTGGAGCTCAGTTTGCTAGCAAAGACTACTCACACCCAGAGCTGAAACTGAAGCCAGCAGAGACATCTTGGAGCTGAAATAAAGTCATAAATCATCTCATTGATTGGTGTTCCTTTGAAAAACATCGCCACTTCTAGGTGTAGCTACATATTCAGCAGGATTACTATATTCCATGAAGACCTTTCTGGAGTTCAAGCTTTCTTGGGGATCATCTAAGTGCTGGGAAGGTTTACCAACATTAGGAGCAGGAGCCAAAATGATGAGGTTCAAGCAACCATTGATGTCAAGAATATTGCTAGCTAACAAGTCTAATGTGGAAGCCTCCACCTTCACAGCAGCCAATCCATCACCATCCATGCAGTACTGGAACCAACTCCAGCAGTAGACGAAGTTAGAGCTCCTATCTATGCTATCACAAAAAGTCATTGCAAACAATTCTACACTACAAGCCATCCCTAGGTTGAAGTCTCACTGCTAAGAGTAGGATGCTAAATGAACAAAGGTATGGTTGTCAACAACAGAGAACAAAATTAGTAATAAAAGAGACCAGCCCACCTAACGGACAAGTATGCCACCAGAAATCTGACTGATGCATTAGAGGACCTGCTGTATGGGTTTCAATACATGTAAAAGAATTCTACCTTCAAGTTATCTTGTTGTTTTTTTGCTTTTTCGCGCGGTGCTTAATATTATTCTGTTTCTGTATTTTTCATTACATATTACACTTTGTACATAATGCATAATATAACACATTCTTTCCTGTTTTGAAAGTTGCTTTATCTTTTCATGTACAAAGATCCCCTATACTTATAGCTAGTACAAATGTACAAGTTCTATTTATGTTTTGTTTCTATATAGGAAAATACTATATAATATATTTGTGTAATAAATCTTCCTTGTATAGAACCTGTAAAGAGTTTTATCTAAGTTCATTGTGTTTGTATACAATTGTTATAAGCTATGTTTTTAATGTTGTAATTTGTTTGTTTACTAGAGAAAGCTAGGGGTCGTAATGATGACATTAAGATCGAAAAGTTTAATAAGATAAGTCTAGAACATTTAATAAATTCTAAAAAGATTTTGACATAAACTGTCGTAGTACATCCTAGGGATAGATCAAAAATACAAAGTTCGGTGGAGCATCGGGAAGACAAAGAGTTGTTTCTATTAGGCAAAATGAATCAGACTGAGAATGTTCTTGTCAGCCGTGAAATTGCACAAGTAATTATATTCTTTAATTTAAGGTAGTGTGTGCAGTTAGCGTCATTTTTAAACATGTACAACTGTGTATAGTGAAGACAATTTGTAAAAACGTTAAGGAAGTGTTACGCCTCCAGTCGTTAATTAATTTTCCGTAACTTCGTTCCGACGAAACTTTAGCGACACAAGTCCTTTCTTAAATAAAACTGGTTTATTCTTTCCGAATACAACTTTACGATACACTTAATTTCAACAGTGGCTCTATAACAACACTATAATTCACGTCTCACGAGGCCAACAATATTTTGTCCGCATACATTCAATTACTCATTACCTGTTGTTCCGTCACGTTGTGACCATCTTATATATACCAGACCACCCACAATCTAGCAAATGCTAGAGCACTCCCGAAGGAACAGGATATTTCTAGAAAACGGGTGGCGTGATACTAGTCACGTGACCTCGCTGACGCAACAGAAGCAATAAAGTATTTGACGACAACGGGGTCACGTGACGCTAGTAACACGTCATGCGCTTCTAGAACGTTCATGAAACCTCGAGAGGTTACTAGATATACGGTATTCTTGTATATAAGCCGCCAAGAACTGACGGCAACAATGAGTAATTGAACTGAGAACAGACAGAGACGTATTGTTGAGCGAGCACTTGAGACGTTCGTTGTGAATTATAGCGTTTGTTATAGCGCGACTGTGGAAATTAAGTGTATTGCAAAGTTGTATTCAGAAAGAATAAACCAGTTTTATTTAAGAAAGGACTTGTATCGCTAAAGTTTCTTCGGAAAGAATTTTTACGGAAAATTAACAAACGAACGGAGGTGCAACAGTATCGTTGACATGGATTGAACTTTAAAATATTTTCACTAGATAATTTAAAAGTGCAAAAACAAAACACGACGGGAGCTGACCAGGAACTATCTGATTTCTCGACTATCCCTTCCTTAATTAAGTCATTCATGACATTCTCCATCTCTTGTCACTTTACCGGAGTTATTCTCCTTGGAGAGATCTTTATTTGACGGTGGTCGCCTGTGTTTATTCTGGCTCCACAACGTCATGATCTCCTTTTTGAAAAGAGATAGATAGAAAGGTTAAGAACCCAAACAGAAAGTATGGATTAAAATAAAAAGTCTAAGGAATTATGATTGATTAGAAGTTCTATATGAAGTTTAGGTTTAAATTTGTAATTTGTCGATTACAACAAATCTAAAGCCTATAGTTGTTTTTAGACATAGGATGTAAAAACTATTGTCATGCTACATCCATATTCAGACAAACCTTTTCCAGAAAGGGTTGGCTTAGACATTCAATCCTACATTGCTACTTCTAACCTATTAAAGGTTGAGCTAACTTGGAGTTTCTAGCATTGATTATTGCTATAAGAAACCATGATTGTTGGCCAATAGTTATATATTGTTTAGCAATAGCCAATGCACTTTAACACCCTCAACATGAATGACGATTTTTGACCAAGCTTTAATTCCATTGTTGAACCTCCAATCAGATCGATGAATTACCACTATAAAAACTCACGGAGAAAGCACTGTTGTAACTGCAACATTAATTCACTACCATGAAGAAGATATTAGAGGAACCAGTAAGCACCAAGGTCACCATCATTGATGCCAAGATTTTCCACCACCACTAATGCTCTGGAGCCAAAGCTAAGAAATGAAAAGATAACCTCAAAGCAGAAGGACATTTAAGCCACCTAAAAAATATGCACAGGATCAAAAATCCAGAAACTATCTTCCCCAGGTAACTTCAACAGATAGAAGAGAAAGCTTGACAAAC